TAACAAAATGATTTCACGGAGCTCGATTGAGAAATCGGTTTTGTTCTGCATAAATGCGTGATATTCCAAGAAACGCATAATTGCAGACGATATGATCGGGAGACACGTGCAATATTGGCAATATTTGAAGTCTTTTCATGTTTATTTGATTCCTTCTCTAGACTCATGCGGTTATAAGGATTTTGAGTTTAGTTCACTATTTGCCTTGTAGTGGAGAGTTGAGTCTTCTGTCTTGATTTTAGGCGACTTTTTGTCTTCTCTCTTCTAAAATAGTTCATTTGATTCCAACTTTACAGCAATTGTTTTCGAACCTTTTTTTTAGTTGTTTGATGTTATACTGTAAATTTTTTCATGTGGGATATATTACAATGGAAGTAAACTTTTTATAAGTAAATTCTTGGAAATGGTTTTAGTCGGTTTTAATTTTTTTCATTGCTATGATGGTATTGTATTACTTACAGTTATGCAAGTGAGAGTACCATATCCTTCTTTTTCCCTTTATCTCAAATATTCTCCGACATCTGCTGTTGAAATTAGCTAACTCTTGTATTTCGTAGGATGGTGTTAGCTGATCTTGGTCGGAAAATCCGAAATGCCATCGGCAAGCTCGGACAGGCAACAATTATTAATGAAGAGGAGCTCGATGCTATGCTTAAAGAGGTACTTAAACATTTTTTTAAACCGTTATTTTGAGTAGTCATAAAGCTTCAATTTCTTTCAAGGTATGCATGGCCCTCATTGAATCGGATGTTCACATTAGATTAGTTAAGCAGCTCAAGGATAACGTTAAGTAAGTGCAATTTTGTGAAAGAAATGTACATGTGTTCCATATATCTAATTTAGGAAAGCTATCAACTTTGAAGAGATGGTAGGTGGAGTGAACAAGCGGCGGTTGATCCAGAAAACAGTTTTCAATGAGTTACTCAAATTGGTGGATCCAGGCGTGACAGCCTATCAACCCAAAAAGGGACAACCTAATGTGATCATGTTTGTCGGTCTGCAAGGTTCGGGTAAAACCACGACTTGTACCAAGGTAATGCTGTTCCTAAAGTGTCAATTTTTTAATGCAGGTGAACTTTTTTTAGATGGCATATTTTTATCAACGTAAAGGATGGAAGACTTGCTTGATTTGTGCGGATACGTTCCGTGCCGGAGCTTTTGATCAGCTCAAGCAAAACGCCACAAAGGCTAGAATTCCATTCTATGGTATGTTGATCAAAATCAGTTACCATATAGGAAATACTTTGAAAAAAAGTATTTTCTAACCATTTTTAGTTTGTGAAACAATCTTTTGCAGATTTCTCATCTTAAGAATTGCATTTTGGCCAAAATGGATAAGTTGTTTCTTTTAGGTTCTTACTCCGAAATGGACCCCGTAGTAATTGCAGCTGAAGGTGTGGAAAAGTTTAAGAAGGAGAATTTTGAAATAATCATTGTTGATACTTCTGGAAGACACAAGCAAGAAGCTTCGCTTTTTGAAGAGATGTTACAAGTTTCGAATGCTGTGGTCAGTCTGCTCCTCTCTCAAGTTTCGCAAACTCGTTGACCTTTTTAATCATGGTTCATTTAGAACCCTGACAATGTTGTTTTCGTTATGGATGCGTCTATCGGTCAAGCTTGCGAAGCACAAGCGCGCGCCTTCTCCGAAACAGTCGATGTAGCTTCAGTCATTATTACTAAACTGGATTCCCATGCTAAGGGTGGTGGGGCACTGTCTGCGTGAGTATTTCTTAACAAGCCGGAAGTCTTTTTATTCAAATATCCTAAAAACCCTCTTTTTTTTTGCTATATCTTATATCTGCCTCTGCATAATGACGTAGCGTCGTATAATGATCATTTAAATTTCCCAAAGAACTTGCGTTCGCGTTCATACAGGCGCTTGCATTCGTTTTTGAAATTTGCAAGATCAAGACCATATATCGCAAATCTTCTTGTAATTCCAGTGTAGCAGTCACGCACTCCCCAGTTATATTTATCGGTACTGGAGAACATATTGATGACTTCGAACTGTTTAAACCCAAAGCTTTTGTGCAAAAGCTACTTGGAATGGGAGACATAGCTGGATTGGTAGACATGGTCAATGATATCGGCATTAAGGACAACGAAGAGCTGGTTAGCAGGCTAAAACATGGTTAGTAGGTTTAAGTGCTTATTCCAATCACTCATTTTTTGCTCTTATGTTTCAAACATTAGTTTTTTTAAGGTCTTTTCACTCTACGTGATATGTACGAGCAGTTCCAAAATATCATGAAAATGGGACCCTTCAGTCAAATTATGGTGAAATTTTTATATTCCGCGTTGGAAACTACGATTAAGCGGCCTTTTTAGAGTATGATTCCTGGATTTGGCCCAGAATTCATGACTAAAGGAAATGAAAAGGAGTCGGTTGGTAGACTGAAGAAGCTCATGACTATTATGGATTCCATGAGTGACACTGGTATGGGCATTACGGCCTAATTCGATGTAACAATTTTCCTAGATTTTTATCTTTAGAGCTTGATCATCCTAAAGCTTCTGAACTGTTCACCAAGGAGCCAGGACGAGTGATTCGAGTAGCTCGAGGCTCTGGCACAACGCAGGCTGAGGTTCTTTCTTCGAATGCTTGCTGTATTAACACAATTCTGATTTTTTTAGGTCCGTGATTTGTTGAGTCAGTACAAGAAGTTCTCGGACATGGTCAAGAAGATGGGCTCA